TGTCTTCCAAGCAGAACTCTTAACCTACCTTCAGTAACTATATACTCCGACAGCCAAGCAGCTATCAAGTCACTGGATTGCTGCAAGACCTCGTCTATAACTGCGATAGAATGGTGGAAAGTCCTTAACGAAATTCAAGGTAATTGTGCAGCTTAGCTTCGCGGCAAATTTTTGTTGACTTATTTCGCTTTTGAAATGGTAATAATGTCAATTGACTTTATTTCGCACCGTTGATCTTGTTACCTGCCACCGTTAATTCCTCTCATGCAGCGGGCATAACCCTATATACCTGTAAGACATAGCTCAGGACATACTTCGTTGAGAAGGCAAACAAAAGATGCTCGGAAGAACCCACGTGTAGGACGACTCCACAAATTTGGTCCAGCTTCGATAAGAAAAGGTCTGAGGCACTCATGCGGTTAGAACGCGCTCTACTAAGGCTGGTTACCGGAATCATTACGAGCCACTGCTTAAGGGGAAGGCATGGTAGCAGAACACGGCAAACCCAGCCGGCCAATGACTTCTGCCGTAGTTGCCGCGAAGTGGACGATATCGAGAATTTGGAGACATACTTCTGTCACTCACCCGCCCTTATGTGGGCGATAAAAATCTCATTTCACCACCATCTGTTTGTCTGTCTCGCCGATCTATGTGAAGCAAGGCATTCACGAATTCTCTAACGTAGGTGGAGTCTGTGTGCAGAGTTTAACCTATGTATGTAGCTAGAAATTACCATAATGAGAAAATCCTAATATTGAGTCAGAGTCAAGCTAAACTCCCCATACTTTCATTATTTGAGGTCAAATCCTCCTTCGTCTTGGCTGCATTGATAAGCTTAACGCCCTGGCTGAGAACAATATTATCCAGCTAATTTGGGTACCAGGACACATAAGGGTTAAGGGTTCTTCCTTGCCATCGGACCTACTACAAACAAGGACACCTCAGGAAGAAGAGAAACAACCTCAGAGAACAATACTCGCGTAACAACTTAGCCCTACGCCAAGCTAAATGCTTACTGGGAGGCTACAACCTTACAAGGTAACAGGGCTATAATAAACCTCCTCAAAGGGAGGTTAAGGATAATAAAAGTGCAAGGCGGTTGCAAGAAGATGGGAGTGGTACCTAGTCGAACCCTGGCTAAGTGCTGAATTTATACAATTGCTAAACCCTGCAGCTATTTTTAAATTTCTGGAATCTGGTTGGATGAAGTACTGTGAATGGTTGAGGGCACAATCGACTCCCTGGCGCATCTATTTATCTTTGTAGTTATCGTTCTCACAACGGTCGGGCTTACGTAACCGGAACGCCCCAGATTTTTGTCTGACCCAGGGCTGTCACTCTAGCATCATTACCCAAAAACTCTGCGGAATTTGTATGCTGCCACAACAACAACATCTACATATGTAGTTATATAATTCTAGGTCGTAAATTTTATTACTTCCAAGCCACTGTGCGCTATAGATACATGTAAGTACATATGTATGTACACAGATTAATATTTTGTGAAGCGTCTTTTTGCCGATTCGACCATGCATTTGTATATGTGTATGTATGTACAAACCCAGCAAACCTTTTTGGTATCATATCAACTTGAGACGCATTTGATATTAATTAGTTTTCTCGAATCCCCAACGTATTCCGATTTTTCGTGAAATCTACGAAAATGCTATCGCTGAATCCAAATAAGTACGAACGTAGCATATACTTTCGTAGCAATTCGGATTCAGCGATTGCATTTATGTAAGAGTATAAAAGTTATTCATATGAGTAGTACGAGAATTTGGTACGACTATAAGACAATGCGAGTTTTTCCTTAAGTTATAGTTATTTATATAAAATTAAGCTATATAGATAGCCGCAGCGAAAAAAATATCTTAAAAGCCTTGTAGTAATACCAGCAGAATTTTTTTAGTAGTCACTCGATCGGTACAATACAGCGAACTTCTATTGAAAAATTTGAACAAATTGTTATAATTGATATAACTGAACTGGATGTTCCTACTTACATTAACGTCATGGTTAAGGCCAATCAGCAAATCTAAAGAATTTATTTAACCATAGGCAATGGCATGATTACCAGCGAATGCGGTAACCTTACCAAAGAAAGCTAGGTAGCGAAAAAAAAGAGTTCCATTAGACTAGGAACTATATTGGGTCTCAAGTAGACCCCTGCGAAAATCCTAAATTGTTTTCAAGTGGCCTACTTAAACCTCCACATACTTTTACTTTCTGTACTCTTCCTGTTAAGCAAGACTTAAACCATTTATAAAAAAAAAGCACGAAAAGCTGCACAATGCAATTTATCTAATAAAAGTTGGTGCTACACTATGTCAAATGGAGAACAAAAAAAGAGAAATAAAGCCCATGGGTGTTATTTCCATTTCGAAGAGGAAATAGCGCCTGCCAATAAAAGGCAATAAATCCCGCGGGCTTTACTTCCTTTACGAAGGAGCAATAATGGCCGCGGACTTAATTTCCGAAAGAAAAGGAAATAACGCCCGCTTGATTTATTTCATAAAAAAAGGAAATAAAGCCCGTGAGTAGTATTTTCTCTGGCTTTATTTTACTGAAACGCGGAACTCCCGCGCCGTGTTTGCTTACTTGTACAAAAGACATCAGCTGGCGGTTTTTGTCAACGAAAACTGCCCGGATCCGAGTTAATGCCCAAAAATTTTGTGCATTTGTTCGGCTGCCTAAAGAGGAAAATGCATGAGTCAAAGCAAATAAAGGCTGTTTATGCAAATAATCGAGCCCGTTTGTCAACCGTATTAGGTTTTTCAGTGTTGGCGCGCACCGCGGTTGAGCGCCAACAGGCTTGCTTTGCAGAGCATAGTAGGCAAATGGTAATATAAGCATTTCGTGTCCAATTTGTCGTCAAATTGACAATCGGCAAAAGTATTTACTTAACTTTTTACTTTTTCATGTTCCTTTTTTTTGTTGAAAATTTGAATTATGTAATTTTCATACACATGTACATTCGACTGCATAACTCCCCATACAAACTAATCCGTACTGTTTTTCCGTTGGAATTATAAAATCTGTTATATTTTAAGACGTCCACCAAAATATTTCAGAAAAATATTAAGATTTAAGCGAGCTGGCCGATTTGAAAATACCTCCAAAAAAGAGTTTTTTTTATGAATAAAAATATTTTCTTAAAGATGTTTTTTGAAAAAATCCCCTCAAAAAAGCTTAAAAAATTTATATAAAAATATAAAAAAAAAATGTTGGACGGAATCGTAATAATAAGATTTTTGATGCTGTTTAAAGTTTGATATAAGAAAAACTTGCATAACTGAACCTAAACTCTTCCAAATAAGACTTGTGAGATATCATTGGAAAGGTATTTTCTCACCCTTTTTATTCCTTTGCTAATAAGTTCATTCAAAGGATGAAAGCGAAAGGTAGGTTGAACGGACACCATTCAGGTGAATTAAGAGGTGTTGATATTTGACAAAAAAAAAATTGGGACACGAATGACTTTTTTTGCACATAAATAAAAATAGTGGGAAAATACCTTTCTACCGAGAGCCCATAAGTCTAAATCAGAACAGTTTTGGCTCAGTTATTTTAGTTTTTTGTAAATCAATCTTCGAAAAAAGTAAAAAAAAAACAGTATCAAAAATCTCATTATTACGATTCCGTTGAAAAGATTTTTAAATATTTTTATGCAGATTTTTTAAGCCTAATCTGTTTTGTCATCTGAGGGGACTTTTTTCAAAAAGGTTTTTGTGAAACTATTTTTTTCATAAAAAACTCCATTTTTGGAAGAATTTTTAACTCGGTCCCGCTGCTTAAATCTTAATATTTTTCCGAAACATTTTGGTGAACATCTTAAAATATAATAAATTTTTTAATCGCTGCAGAAAAACCGCAACTTTTTTTGGTGATGCAGTCTAATGTACATATATACATAAATATATGCATTGAAATTTCTTAATTTCAATTTGTTCGTATAATAAAGGAAAACAAATATTTAGTTCAAGTTATCATATTAGTTAGTTTTTATTTAGAACATATGAAATAACGCCTGCGGGCGTTATTGCCATATCGAAAGGGAAATAATGCCCACCGGCAAAAGGCAATAAAGCCCGCGGGCTTAATTTCCTTTTCGAAAAGGCAATAATGCCCATGGGTGTTATTTCCGCGGCCCTAATTGCACTTCACCGTCAATGGTTTATCACACGATGGAAAATATTATATCTTGTGTTAGCTGGGAATGTGTGTATATACATATATATATCCGTAAATAAATACTACACCCGAACACAAGTATGGAATAGCTATATATGTATGTATCTAAATATTTGAAACATAACCTTGTGTATGGTGTTTCCCTGCTCCACCACCCAATTGTTGCAGCAGCGCCAGCGGCAAGAGCAGAGAGTAAAGGTTCGTGTTCGCCACAGATTCAGAGCGCACGAAGCGGCGAGCGCTTTCAATTTTTCTGTGAAGTTTTATGCTTTCTTCAGCTTTTTTCCACATTCAGTTCTACAATCGCTCAGAACGTGTTTGGTTGCAACGACGATTTAGCGGAGTGTACGCGCGGCAACTCGGTATAAGCATACATAACGTGTGTGTGCGCGGTGGCAAAGCCATCCGGCCGGTGAAGTGTTTTTGTCCAAGTTGTTATTCCAGTCGAGTTGATGTTTTTGTAAACAAAATCTACTTAATAAAATGATGTAAAGATAATAGTTTCGTCCGTGATTTTAAAGGAGATACAAAAATAAATAAATAAATACCGCGTGAAGTTTGAAAAATAAGGAAAAAACACGTTAAGCGGCGACTCCGACAAAGCCACAACCAGGGACAGAGAATAGCTTCAATGACGAACAATTATTTTCCACTGTCGCTGTTTTGAAGTGAGTTTGCCAAAAACAAATTAGTGATTTGTTTTTGTATAACCAAAAAAAAAATAAATTGTCCAAATTTGTGTAAATAAACTAAAATGTCGATGGCACCACAAAGTTAGGTAAGCAAAATGTATGTACATACATATGTGCACAAAGTGCGAAAAGAGAAACAGAAAGTAACTTGCGAACACGATATGTATGTATATATGTACTTGTAGACGCGCAGCTAAATTTGCTGCCGCTGCACAAGTTGCAGCAACGCAGTTCGGTTCACTGTTCAATTTATTGTACATATACATACATATAAGCGCTATGTACAACTGCAATAACAAAAAAAAAAACAAAAATACAACAAAAGTGACAAACAAAAATGACAAACAAAAATGACAACAAAATTGACAAACAAAAATTACAACAGAAGGGACAAACAAACAAAATATGCAGTAAAGTACCAAGGAACATATCTACATAGATATTTAATAGGAAATGTTGCAAATATGAAATGCAAAATAAAGCAAAGAAAGGCAATAGAAAAGAATTTACACATCCATACATATGTACTGTATATAGAAATGTATGTACGACTTTATACTAGTAGAGCGGAAATAAAGCAAAAATGAATAGCAACGTCGCAACGCCGCAGCTGAAAGCCGGTGATAGCGCTCTCGTGTATGTAGAAATGAAAGGGCGGGTGGACGGAGGGAAAAGCTGTATTGCGTGGGTGGAGAGCGGTGATAAAAGCGATTGATTGATATTCGAGTGTTTGTGTATGCAAAAGAAATTACGTTTCTTACATACATATGTACTTACATACATATGAAAAATGTTTAGTCTTAGGCGTGGCTTTCGGCTTGAAAAATGCCAAAAATATTACATACTTATTTTTAAAGCAAAGTCAAAATCAAATACAGACATTTGGACAACTAGTAAATCATGACATAATACGGGTATTCACAATTTGGTGAATACATACCTATAATATTACGGGCGCCGGTTAGCAAGTTAGACCTTGAAACCTCGTAAAAATATGAGCAAAACCAAAATATGTGTGCGTGTATGTATGTGTGTACAGAGAATATGCTATGTATTTACATATGTATGGGAATATATGTGGGAATATGTAGTATGTACAATACATATGTATATGTATGTGTGTACATATGTACCTAGGTACATTGCTATATTACTTAAAATTTTTACGAAAAAGAGTCGCTGAAGACAAGGCAGAGAAATCTAAAAGCAGTCGTGCTCCTTTCGTGCCGGTATCGGCTGTAGTATTAACAGCGCAGCGCCAATTAAGCTTTGACGTTAACTGCGCTGCCAGCCGAAAAGGATGTGCGTGCAGAAAAGTAAAACGCAATAACAGTAAAACACCCAACAGTAGAACACGCTCACAATGCGGGTGAAAAGTAAAAAGGAAATGCTTTGGCGTTAATTTCTCAAAAGCACGAAGTAGAGATCAGTGTTGCCACGCACAAATTTTTCTTCCTATCAAAACCAACAAAAAATTTGTTAGACCTAAGAAGATCTAATGTGCCTAATTGTAATCATCCCAATCTTAGGATATTTAAGAAGTTAAGCACTGTGGAAGGTGCTATGTTACAAATTTAGAATGGAGTAGGGACACGATATCGAACAGAAAGTATCGATAAGGTACTCATTTAAAGTATCGCTTCAAAAATATCGGGTACCCATTAATATCGGAATAAAAATACTCGATATTCCAAATATCGATACCAAAATCCAAAAACTTTATCCAAACATAGGTCTGGTATATAGGCCGCTGTGGTGTAATGGTTAGCAGTGCGCAAACTGTAGGGACCCCTTTTGTGCCACAACATTAAGGCGTGCGCGACAAATCGGAGAGAATCTCGGTCAAACACTAACATATTGTGTAACAGCACGTAGAGATTGATGTGTTCGACTTAAACACCGAGGTCGCGTGCGTGGTCATATTCCACCACATGTAATCCTAACTATATTACAAATTTCTGCTCTATAAAGCCCAATTTATATCGGGAAGAATTGTTAATAACATTATCCTTGTAATGTGAGTTTATGACATTCGATACGATACTAGGGTTCTGGTACTCGATTCCAAAAAATATCGTTTTAAAACTGTCGAGTAGAAAATATCGGAATCGAATGCCAAAAATATCGATATGGTATCGTATCGTATCGAAATTCGTGTCCCTAGAATGGAGTTCCCCGTTCCCCAACGTGTACTAAAAGTCTGCTATTGATGATACATGGGCAGTCGTATAGAATATGCTCTGGTGTTTCCTACACCTGCACACAAAACCTGCAGTCTCTCTACAGAAAGCACCATTTAATTCAAATGGTAACTTAGCTTGCAGTGTCCTGTGAAGCAAGCAGTAAAAGTTCTAAGTTAAGGAGTTTCTCTTGTAAGTAGTTATGTATCTCTTTGATTGTCTCATTCCCTTTAGTTTTCCTTAGTGGACAGTAATATGAGATTCTTCACAGCTCTTAAGTAGTTATGCAGGGTATGCTTTAGATGTACCCGTTGGCAGACTTTTCTGGAATCTTGGTGCAGGTACCCCAGCTCCAGTACTCCCGCCGTTCTTCTTCGATCATCCAGAAATGACCTGAGAACCGCAGCCGCGAAGAACTGCGGTTTTCTTGCAGATAATATTGGGTAGCCGTAGGGCACTCCAGCAGACCTCTTTTTCAGCGCCACATACATACATATGTAACAACCGGTTTTACTAACGTATTGAAAGACCATTACGTTAGTTTGGGTGATATTCCCCAGGTCTTACCATAAAGTCTCTGACAGCCATAAAATGCCCTTGTAGCCTTGTTCGTTACATTCGAGAGATGTGAGTTCAATTTGAGCCTTTGTCCAGATTTACCCCTAGATACTACGCCTATTCTGATAACTCAATTTCTGTCCCTGCCAAAGTTGGTCTAGTCAAGTTGACTTCCTTTCAGTGGGTTTATTGCCAAGCCCATTTCAGCACGCTAGTCTTCAGTACAACTTTGTAGTTCAGTTAAATTTAAATTAACTTGTAGGCACATAAAGTACTATATATGGAGGTCCATATTGTATATTGGACATAGTATAGGTATACGTTTGTACTTACGAATCAGGTATATTAACATATTTGTGGTCGCCATTATACGAACGCACCGGTGAAATATTTTTGTAAACAAGATTGCTAAAATGTTTAGAGATACTTATATTTTATTCGTCGCAAATAACTTTTATTGTCGCAAATAACTTTTATTGGCTAAACGATAAAAACAAAGTAAGAGATACAGTTGCGGTCAAAACAGTAGCAACAAAATTTAAAATGATGCTGTTGGCAACTTCTTTTTATTTATTTATTGTTAAAAAATTTCATTTAAAATATGGGTCGATTTGTATCAGATACCACATAAATAAAAGTTTCAAAGCTTGCACGAAGTTCATAAAAACTAATTAAATAAAAAAAAATATGTTCATCAAAATTTTGCTATTTCCTAGAAATGTTTTGAGTATGGGGCTTTCTAGCCCATTCAATTCTAGTATAATAAGTGGAAGTTTCAAGTCGCCAAAAATTTCCATTGATTTTTTAGTTTTTTTTTTTTTGTGGAGGGTGTTGTGCATTTTCTTCCATATAAAAGCCAGTTTTGTTCATGCGTTATATGGAGGAAAATTCGCAACACCCTCCACAAAAAAAAAATCTTAAAAATTAATAGTAATTTTTAGCTATATTCCTCTTACAGAGTTGCATGCAATAATGCTTGCTAATGACCTACACACAATAACCGCGTTAAAGCATCACCATGTTGAGTAGAAAATTACAGGTTGAAAAATCTTGTCCCGGCGTAACGTGTCAAACTTAGTGCAAAATATTTATTTTAATATTGTTATTGAGCTTTCTACCACGATTACGTTTTTTTAGGAAAATGATATGTTAAAACTTGTCAATATGTGGTGCGGCTATAACTTTTTCGACCACTGTATGCACATATGTATGTAAAAGAAAGTCATAAGAAACTAAGGATAAAGAAAAAGAAATAGGGACATCGGAATAGATACAAAGGAATAAATATTGGCGTGCGTCATCAAGTCGAATAATAATAATAATAATAATTAGGGCGGAGTAATTTAATTTAGAAAAAAATTTTAAAAGCAAAATCAGTGTGTTATAAATTTTTTTGAACTAAATTAATTTTTCATTAACAAAATTTTGCCCGGAACTAATTACTCCGCCCTAATGTATGTATATACAAAAAAATATACATATGTACATGCATATGTACATAAATTGTTGTGATCGGCGCATTATTACTAAAACACAACGCGTATTGTGACTCTGAGCCACTCTCAGTTGGCGTTTTTCATGCCTGTCTTCGATACGGTCGGTATGTAGTCAAAAAGCTCCTCAGACCATTGAGGCAATTTTGTAGGAAGGATTGCCTTCAATGCAAACAAAGCTAGGTACGAAATGGCTGGTAACAAAAGGTAATGGCTAAAAACGTCACCGGTACTGTCATCATTTTGGTACAAACGCCAAGGAATATTTTGGGATACATGTACTGGTAAGCAAGTATGTATGTATGTACGTATGTACATTTGCATGTATGCATACAGTTTTACGAAAATACTTGAATAGGGAACCACACGAGCCACGCAGTAGATGGTACCACAAATATGAATTGCTTGATAACTGTTAATTAACAACCACTAATTAAAAAAAAAAATACGGGAACTGTAAGGAGATGTACTTGCCTAAATTGGTTTAACTGAAAATAAAATAATAGGAAGAAATCACTTTTAAACGGGAAGTTATTCTGTTGTTACTTCAAAGATACGACTTCAGTAGCGACCAATATTCATAATACAATGCATTTAATTAATTGTGCTAAAAATCCTTTCTTTCTCTTTCATCTTTAAATCAAACATTAAAAAAAAAAAAAAAAAAAAAAAA